ACCGTAGGTGGATGCCGCCTGGGCAATCCGGAATCCGTAAGCCTGAAGGGTAAACCAATCTATATCGAGTCGTTTCTCCTTGACTTTGTCCTCTGTAACAGTGGCGAGCATGACGCCAAGACAGAACCGACTGTAACATTGAGACCACAGAGCCCCACCGATGACGCCCTTCTCCTCTCTCGGAAGAGTCAAAGACTGCGGCACATCGTTAAGGATAAAGTCGAGCTTCACAGGATCGGAACGACCTAGCTTTGTCGTGTCCTTCTTGGCCTTGCTTTCCACAAGGTCCTTGAAGTCGATGAAAACCGAGGGATTATCCGTCAGACGCTTCCATATCAGCACCGGTGGCATGAGTTCACTCGCAATGTGGTCGATGCCCACCATTGACTTCAGAAGCTCGGCTCGTCTACGCATTTGGGCAGCCCAGTCCTTCTCATTGCGAGCTAGAGGGAGAGCCTTTTGGCCTGCAGCGAATAAGTCAACTTGGAAACCAGCATCCTTCACGCACGATCTCAATGCACAACCGACCATTATCTTCTTATCTTTCAACTCGTCCGTGGCTATGCCGGTAACCAGAGTTTCCACTTGCGCATCGGTCAGGTTAGACAACATCATTACTTGTAGCACGTTCTCCTTCTCAAGCTCTGCAGTGACCTTCTCAACCAGGCCGGGCTGCCCATCACAATGACGTTGAACAATCTCCTTAGCTCCGTCGGACAACGACATTGGATGAGAGTAAAGAAACTCGAGGCACGGCCTCGATAACTACATGAACACTCCAGTTCATCAGTAAACTGATATCATACCCTATGAGAGGTTCACTTAACACATATCCTCTGCGGTGCGTATGAAACTGTGATAACACAACTCCTTGCGCTCGCCTCTGGCTCGCGCGACAGACGTCGGGATCGTACTAGGCTTTCAGGCTCTCTCCTGTTATGGCTCTTTCACTCTCCGTACCTGAACGGTACTCCCCAATCCGAATTCCGCTCACGTATCCTGACGGATTGACCAATTACCGCCTAAACCATTTCGGAAGAGTATTCAACTTTAATATCAATCAAAGTGACTAGCTTCATCGCCCGATTAGTTCAGCTGGATAGAATGTCTGCCTACGGAGCAGATGGTCGTAGGTTCGAATCCTGCATCGGGTATACATTAACCTCACTTCCTCTTCATCCATCCTACGTCAACGAAATCGGGCATCCGATGTGAAGCTCCACCTAGTTTGCA